TAAAGCTGCATCTGCGGTTGGTCGGTTACGACCTTCTAATTCAGTCAAATCTCGATTACGACGTCACAGCTTTATCAATTCTTCACTACGAGGGAACCCATTTTTCCCTCATAATAAAAACTATGGGCTGTAGGATTCTTAAGCACCAAATTTTGTTAAATACATGCGTGTATCTTCCCAAACAAACTGTGATTCGTGCCTCAGAATTTGAAATATTTCTGGTAAGTATAAATGCCCGATTTCCTTTAAATTGATAAAAATCTTGTGATGTGATATTTTCGTGAAGAAATTGGGTTTTATTTTTCTGAATTTGTTGCTGCAGTATTAAGAGGACAATTTCAAAGCTGAAAGCTGAAGAAATGGCTTGTGAATCATTTGACGGATCAGAGGTTTTCGATAAAGACGAGCATCTGCTGGAGATTGATTCTTTGAATTATGGGTATTTCTAATTTCCTAATCCTTTTTAAAAATTTTCCATTTTTCGTGCAAGTTTCCATTTTTTATGTTGCGGAATTTATAATTATATGGTGCTAATGATCGATTTTTTTTGTTAGATGCAAGCATTACAGAAGAAGATGCAAGATCAGAGCCCCATGTTGTGATGAGATCTTTGATTGCAGGCATTGCCACAATGAAACTAAGGTGTGATTCTACTCTACATTGTTCTTGAATCTTGCTTTAATTGTGATTTAATTCTTCGATTTATATATTTATGTGGGATGAATTAGATGGACTCGAGCAGCTAATTTTTCCGTTTTCTTTTCGACAGAACACTCTTGAAATTGATCCACTTCACAGGCATGATGTTCCACGCCATGAAGTTAAAAGGGTGAGCCATTTCTCCATGATGATTTAGATTTCTTCGTGCAATTTGACAATTGTCCTCGTATTGGTCGAATAGTTGACTGTTCACTCTAGGGACATTGAGAAATGTCCTGTCTACTAGCAATGTATATTCTGTTGTTTGTACTTGCTGTGGCGAAAAAAGTTGAAGTTTATAGAAGATCAACATTGGTGATGGATAATTGAATCATAAGACGCATATTCAAGCTTTGCTCCTTTTTTATGNGGTGATGGATAATTGAAACATAAGAGGCATATTCAAGCTTTGCTCCTTTTTTATGCCTTCTTTCTGCTTGAGAAAATGCATAAGAAAGGAAGGAGGAAATAGTGGTGCTCTTGTTTTGTTACCAAATTTTCCACTACAATTTTCAATGCCATAAGAAACTGTTATTTTCTTGGCCTGGAATTGTTAGGTGTTGTCGAGTCTAGTTTGCAGATAAGGTTAAATATCTTCTTTAACAATATCAGTTTCGAATAGAGTTGTGAAACAGGATTCTTGTACACGACTACAAATTTATTGGGAACGAGACTTAATTTCTCATTGCTTACCTATATCAATTGATGTTAGAATTACGATTTCTCCTTTTTGTTATGACCATTCATATTCTTTTGCTTTCCTCTTATTTCTCATAAATTGTTTGATAGAATCCTGTGTCTTCAGAATTACTCCACGAGCTCGAGTTTTTCATTGGTGTTTGGCTAATTTTCTCAATTCATGTTTTCAGGTCATTTGTTCCATATGCGGCACAGAACAAGATGTATGTCCTATAGATTTGTTAGATTACATATTAATTTAAGATAGACTTTATTTGGCCTGAAATATACTTGTTTTTTTGATCAGATTCAAGAAAACTGCATAAATTGTGGCGTTTGCATGGGAAAGTATTTTTGCAAAAAATGCAAATTTTTTGATGATGATGTAAGCTATGCAGATTTTATTTTCACATTATTTCACACTGCATATCTTATTTGCTCATATCAATGCAATTTCTTACACGATTCACTGTCGTTATTAGGTCTCAAAGAAACAATA